TACATACATACATACATACATACATACATACATACATACATACATACATACATACATACATACATACATACATACATACATACATACATACATATAGTGTAGAAATGTTATTTTTAACGGCAAACTTCAAAGGAATTTTGCATCCCAGCCCGCCTCTCCCCGATCACCCGAAGAACGCACAGAACTGAGTCTGTTTTAGTATGTCATGTAAGCTGCAGTAGCCATTGGCGCCGGGTCATGCAGGCAATAAGTTATGGATGCCAAACCTGACCAATGACCAGACATTAAAAAAAAAAGAAATCAAGGGCAACGCAAAGAGCAATGGATAGGATGATGTGGACATACAACAAGGTCAAATAAATCACACAAAAGCCGAGAGAAAACTAGAAAGACAGATATCCCCAACAATACACCAGTGGGGGGGGGGGGCTGTGTTCTGCAGTGGACGACACAACGCCTAGAAAAAAAGAAAGAAAGAAAGAAAGAAAAAAAGAAAGAAAGAAAGAAAGAAAGGAAGAAAGAAAGAAAGAAAGGAAGAAAGGAAGAAAGAAAGGAAGAAAGAAAGGAAGAAACGCATAAAAAGCATTGAGTATCAAAATCATGATCAATACCATCAGACAAAGTATTCTGTTCTCCTGTTGTTGATTTTTAAATTTTAGAAAAAAGTATTAATTTTTGTTTTTTTGAGGGGGGGAGGGAGGTTGTTTTTGTTTGTTGTTTAAAAAAAAATAATGTTCCCCGTAAGTACAGTCGCCTTTTCCCGGTCCTCAGGGTAAAGAAGTGGGGATGGGGCTGGTTTTATGTGGAGGGGGGGAGGGTTTGGGAGATTTGGGTGTTGTCCAACCTTGAGTACGTGCCGTAGGCGCTCCCTTTGACAACCATTAAGTTGTGTGGGGGTGGCGGGTTCCTCTGTCCAGTCCTCACGATCTTCTGGCGACCTGACAGGGAGACAAAACGCTTCCTCAGAATTGGTCGTTTTTTCACAGCAGGGGGGCTATCCCGAAAAAATGCTTTTTTTTGAGAAAATTGAAGGTAAAGTTTTTGCCCCTTGTACAGTTTCGTTAAAAGACAAGGAGAGTTGTATCTGTAACCAAACAAATAAACACAGCAATGAAAGCAAACTTCACCTATAGGAAGGGAAATGCCCACTTTTGGTGTAGGTCAAGATTTCTGGAAACTCTCGAAATATGGGTAAGCCCGCTTATCCTTAAAAGCGACCAATTAAAAAGTTTTATCTGACATTTTTGCCGTTCAGTTTAGCGCTACCAAGAACATGGGGTCTGAAACCAAATTTTAATGTTCTATCTGCTCTATCAAAATCGTAAGATTATTTGGAGTCGTTTTCAAGGTATTCAAAGAATTGTATTTGAAAAAGCTTGACCTGTTTTGAAACTCAAAAATTTTACGTCAGATTTCTCAAAACTAGATACTGAGCAGGTAGAATATTTTTTTTAATTCAAGGGCAGCGAAGAGTCTTGACAGCTTGGATAGTCCAACGCCCTTATCTCTCTCCCCCCCCCTCTCT